GAGTTATTTATCTGCATGTGTATCCTTCGCTTTTTTCATTAGTAAAATAATATATAAGCTTTCACCTACCATCTTATGACTATTCTTGATTAAGCAGCACTTTTTATACTAAGGTTAAGCGGTTGCAGTTCAGCCGACACGATAAATCAAACGCGCGCTAATAAGTGGTGGGCATCAAGTATCACATGCAAATGAGCTATGTAAGGGTATATATATTATGTCACCCAGCTATGCTAGCTAATTGAGCTAGCATAGCCTGTCTTTTTGAGCGATCCTCATGCACAAAGGGTGACTGTGTGACACCTAGCTTTATGCATGTGATTGTCTTTCGTACTAGAGGGGACCGCGATCCCCTGGCTTGCTGCCTAGCATCTTCTAGACATTGCAGCGTCTAAGGGAAATCCAATATGATCTTCAAATTCATCCAAATTCAGGCTGCTGCGTTGGAAAGGCAAAGACTTCACTAAAGCTTAGGTTACTGCTTGAAGGGGCGGCATTATCAGCTAAAGCAAAGGAGCTAATGTGTCACACAGTCACCCTTTGTGCATGAGGATCGCTCAAAAAGACAGGCTATGCTAGCTCAATTAGCTAGCATAGCTGGGTGACATAATATATATACCCTTACATAGCTCATTTGCATGTGATACTTGATGCCCACCACTTATTAGCGCGCGTTTGATTTATCGTGTCGGCTGAACTGCAACCGCTTAACCTTAGTATAAAAAGTGCTGCTTAATCAAGAATAGTCATAAGATGGTAGGTGAAAGCTTATATATTATTTTACTAATGAAAAAAGCGAAGGATACACATGCAGATAAATAACTCATTCTGCTTACTTAACCAGATGTGCATACAACATTACTGTTCATACGCATGATACAGCCATGTCTACAGATATAATTATAATAAGTGCCAAAATATCCCAGCTGGTCAAATGTACTGTGTACCTACGACGGACCGTCTACAAGATCTTCCTCAAGATCTGGACATTCAGGACCAGAACGGTCCTGGAATATGCCTGCTGTGCGCTGGTCGATCGCCTCTAAGCTCTAAGCATTCATAGTAACTAGTACATTCTTAAAATACAAGCTGACTAGATCTTGAAGGGCGGAACAGGGTTGAAGGGAAACAGACACTATATATAACCTTAACTCAGTCCATCTTATAAGTTCATATTAATCTGGCTCTTTCCACAGTGATACTAATCTCCCTAAGTATATAGTATATCTATATAGTGTCGCGTCTTAACAAGAAGATTTAATCTCTCAGGCTCGTTCCACGACTTTAATAATATAACTAAGTAAAGCATGAGAGTTGAGTTCAGGATAAAAGGTTTTGTTACGAAGGTAACACGTGACGAAACCAAGGAAGCAAATATGATTGGTTCTTGGGAGAAGAACCAATAGCAGATGCAGGATCTCTCATTCGGTCTTGGCAATGAGAATTCTCATGCGTCTCATGGCATGAGAATGATGAGAGTTCTCATGCGTCTCACGGCATGAGAATAATGAGAAGGATTTTCCTATGTCTATAAAATAGTGGCTTTGCTCTCGTTTTCAGCAGACTGTAGTTTAACTGTCTAGCTTTGCCTAGTAGTTAGTGTAAGGAATTGGTGATAGGAGTGTGAGATAGATTGTAGGATTCAAGAATATCCGCTAGCTCTCGAACGTATGTCCTCGAGCTGCCTTAAATACACAGGTGCGCAGGGGCCGCGTAGGCGTCTCATCTTCTTACCGTTGGGGTTTCAACCTGTTTCGCACCAGTCTCGAATATATGAGTAGTCATGCGATAGCTATGTGTGCTTTTACTCCCCGTGGCGCCCGCGCCACGCTGCTGTCACGCCGTTCGTGACAGTTAGTTTGAATACTTCTCTATACTTGAAGCTCATACTATTCTAAGTCATAAAGCTTGGACTAACTTATTCCTCTTCCTTTCTGAATAAGTCTTAGTTCCACATTGTTCCCTTTTGCTCTAGGAAGCCAACCCCTTCCGAAGTGGCTTACATTAGTGAAGCTAGTCGGTATTGGGAAAGTGTTCCTAACAGGTTTGCACTCACTTATAATGCCCTGTCCTTTTTGCGGACGCGGTAGATCTCATAGTAGATACTCTGCAGATCTGGTTTCTTGACAGCGTTCTTGTCCATGTCCAGGATGCTGTGACACGATGTTTGCTGAAGGTCAGGGCTTTAAAGGGGCTCAATGTGAACGCTGTATTCCTAATAAATATTAACAGATAGCTAACCAGATAAGTTTAAGTAAGCCTTAAGAATATCATTGTAGTCTCCAGTAGCTTTATCACATATATCATGAACAGGTACACGAAGGATGATGTGTTTTAGTAGTGATATCATTATTAAGGATAAATTGCAAATAAGGTTTAGTTGGCAGCTGAGCAATGTCCGCGAAATTGACCCAGCAAGCCTTAGTGCCTGATTTTGGTTCCAATTTTGCCTACTATGACAGCTATATTCTGTCATCAGCGACATCAGTCACACTTCCTTCAAGGCTGCAGATTGCAGTTGATTAGATAAGATAATCACCTTCATAGCAGGTACCCTGCTGTTTAACAGATCGCGCTTGTGCCTGACAGAATGAAGCATTAAAATACCACTTTTATTATATTTATATATGATATCCTATCTCAACGCTTGGAATATACTTATAAGAAGTTTATCTATAGCGTAAGTCATTTTTTTAAATATTTTTTACCCTTTATCTACTATGTCCGAAGCTATCTGAATAACTGCTAAGCCTACAGATAAGAGTAAAATGTATTACTATAGACTGCAGGGGAGAGATTATACAATTTTTAAGAAGCCGAAATAAAGCGTGTAGTTGAATATCTATAATCCAAGATTATCTATACTATCAGCTATTTATACAATTTATTATGTTGGATGACAAATTCTTGTCCGATCACGTACCCTGTCCGGTGACGTACCGATAACTGTTAGTAAACGCGTTTGTGTTGAGTTTTCATCAAGACACAGACGTTTCAGACTGCAACACCTAAGTTATTATGTTGTGGTGGTGACGACGGCCCACTCGCTTATCCTTGGCGGTACCGTACCTATCGCTTGCTCGATCCATCCATCCAAAGAGCAGACAGAAGTCAATAGAGACACAATGCAATAGTCAACATCCTTATACCTATCTTTTAGTAAACCATTCCTCAACCCTCGAACGCTCGCGCACAGCGCGCCATCCGCACTTAGCTTTGCTAGAACAGTGCGACAGAAACGCTGGCCTCGTTGTTGATCTTGAGTAAAAATCGATTTTGGTCTTCCTGGATGGTCTCGTGGCGGGGGTTGTTCGAGCAGCCTTGACGATCTTCTGAATGTGCTTATCTAGACTCTGTTTACTTGTATGATCGAGTTATTACAAACTTCAGTCACGCAGGTACCAGAGGAAGCTTTACTATCTCTGCAAGACCAAATTAGTAAACAGCATACCCATACACTCGTCTTGCGGATAACCCCCCATATTTACCTTGATGGTAATTAAAAAAGTACAAGCTACTCTATGAGGAGAAGCTGATAGAAAACTTTATGATGCCAACTAATTTTGCACACGCATGCCAAAAAGGGGACGTAGGATGCCCGGAGATAATTTTGATCCATTTCAGGGGGCGTCCCGTAATCCAGGGACGGACGTTAACTTTGATCTTTTGCAAATTCACTTTGGCCGTACGTTGTTATGCTATCTAGGCCGGTCCTCTTAGCAGCCTAGCCAGTCTCGACTCATTGTCGTCAATACTTCCGTCAATCCAAAGCCGTCCCTTGCCCCCGTTACCTTTGACCTCGAAAATACCGTCGAAGATTCTATCCGATTCCATGTCGTAGACGTCTATCTTTCGAACCTTGCTATTTCGTAATATCACATCAAAAACATCGCAAGGTATATAGACATCGAATTCTGGGACGCAAACATCACAATGTTGCTCCTCCATATCCCACCCGCTGACGTATTTTTGCACAAACAGCCAGTCATCATGTATTCCCCACACTCTACCAATCGAGCGGCTGGGATTATTCTTGTTCGCAAGAAGCCTTGCATTGCTCGGCCAAGTGATGACAGAGCCAATTGTAATGCCTTCCAAGAGTCAGTACGAGCCATCTGGAGTCTGACCTCGACAGACCATTGCATGCCGAATATCCAACAGTTGTAATCTTTTGTGCAGTCCTTATTGTCTCCCTAGCTCTTGCTTCGGCAACTATCAGACTTTTCCCTCCTTTGTCACCACGTCCTCGCGTACGTATTTCTGTACTCCTTCTTAGAGTCGCGCTCATTTTTCTCTATTGACTTTGCTTTATTAGCCTCTCTCCGCTATAGTACGCTTGTGTTAATCTCAGACAAAGGCTTGAGCCGATTTGAAGCTGTCATTACAGCATGTACAGACGGAAGAGCTTAGTTATATAGTACGACCAAAGGTCAAACCGGACTTAGCAATATTGATGGTCGATATTCGAACTGGAGAACCTTTTCAATGGGGTATACTGTATCTTTGGTTTATTCTGCCATTATCCAGTACGAACCTCACCTGGATGGTCACAGGTAGGAAAGCTACTGCTAATGCAAACCTTCTTGAGCTGGTTTATGAACCGTGCACAACTTAAGTTTTTATGACAGATCGATACCTTCTTCGCACCTAGATAATATTCGAGTTTGGTGGTTTGGTGGGCCACACTACTGTATCATACTCAGAACACATGTCTAGCGGAAACATCTGAGAACCTGGGTGCTTATCTAATCTGGGTAAATTAAGCGGCTTCTCGGCCACCATAACGAGTCCACAATCGCATTCATTAAAAACGCGGAGAATCTCTCAGTATTTGCCACCCCATACAGAAGATGCGCAAGCTTCTGTAGCATACAGCGTAATGAGCGAGTTCTGTAGTCACATTCAACGCAAGAATAGGATAACATGCTGGGATGAAAATATTCGCGTGATCTTTAGGGAAATTGGAGCATCGTTGTCATGGAAATGATTTGAAATATTTCCTTGATAACTTACTATTCGCTTCTCAATAATACCTTACTGTGGTAAGCTCGTTGGTGGAACGTGGCGATGGACTGCGCATTGCCCAAGAGGAGGATAGAACTAGGCCGAAGCAATAGCGAAGTGCCGCCCTCCCCGACCAATGGTCGTAGGCGTTGGTGGGTCCGTGCAAAAATCAACCATTACAGCCGAACTCTGCGTATGAACAGCTTTCCATACGGCATTTCACAAGGCCCGACCGCGGTTTTTGGCCCCACAGCCGAAGTATTGCATCATTCGCTGGTAGGATTGTGGACTAAGCCGCTGGGTTTCATCCTCAGCCGTTTGAAACCATACATCTATCGCGTCGTGCGACAGCAAAATTTCTATCTTTCCTCCATGAACTCATATGAATTGAGATCCCGGTACCTCTCCGCTCCTGTGAGATTTTCAGTGCCATATTGATACCTTGTAGTTCAGCCGCGTATACGGTAGGTGTATTATCTGTGCTTATATAACATCTATCCCTACCCTACGGGACATCCTAGCCAGCGAGACAGGCATTTCAGAATTCAACATAACAATTCACATAGAAAGCTGACAGTTTGAATAATCTCGGATCATATACTTTAAACTATGCGCTTTATTTTGACTTCCTAAATTTTTTTTAATCTCTCTTTCGCAGTTTGTAGTGATGTGATCTTCTATTACTAATAGGTATAGCACATATTTAGAAAGCCTCGTGCGTGACAGGTGGGAGGTGAATCTGATTAAAAATAATTTATATTGTAGAGAGGTCTCTACCAGATTTATTCCAAGTGTCAGAAAGAGTATTGATAGGAGTTACTACTAAGAGGTGCGATTTGATGCTTTATTACTCCCAGCAGGAGCGCGATCTGTTAAATAGCAGGGTACCTGTTAACTTAGATCTGCTTGTCTCATCTGCCGAGGCACAAAGCTTGTGGCTGATACATGCTGATAACAGGCACCGACAGCGAGATATTAGGCACTAAGGCCGATCTGCGCTAAGGATATTTGTTGTCTTCAGCGTCAAGTTCCGAGCAGCCTCTTCTGCAGAATCGCTGTTTGCAGAGATTGTGCTACTGCGAGACTTTGCTTTTTGCTCCCAGTATGGTTTGCAAGTCCTTTGCGGTTAAGGAATCGGGTTTTTTTTTCTTATAAATGGGACACTGCTGCTTCAAGTCGGAGCTTATATTAAAGGCATTATTCAGATAGGATGCTGAACTTCAGTGGTATTATATTATATCAGCAGCGATGTTGTCTAAATATTTTGCGAATCATCTCATGAATTTAACAATAATCTGAATCAGCTATAAATGCGCCACATACTTCATCCCTATGGATAGAACTTTATAGGGAGGCACTCGCAATAATATTGCCGATAGGTACCTAGCCCAACCTCTTACTACATCCCTCTACAGCAGCGAGACTTCATCTACAATAACCTATCTCTCAGCTCGTACCGCCAGCGGATTGATCTGAACCCTACCAAGAGTATACCCACCCCTAGGCAACCAGCCGTCACAGAACTGTGACGCATACAAGCGATAGGAAAAGATGAACAAGCGAATTTGGTATAGTCAGATTTCATTGAAGAGTTTACAATGATGCTTTAGATACCTGCCTGTCCTATCAGGTATGTTTTATGAAGTATCTTCGCGTAGCGCCTTCTGCCGGAATTTGAACCAATATAAGATTGAATCCACCTCCGCATTAATATTGAATCCACTCTTTTGTTTATCAGTTTGTTCAAGATCAATAATTGTGATCTTACTGCCGTCGTAAAGAACGTTGCCTAAAGTGAGGTTCTTATGAACCAGATTTCTATCTGCCAGCCAACTTAATGCCCATCTCAGCTTCTTCTTGAGAGCATCTACCGTGAGATCCTGCCGCTCGTTCAGACTCGTGCCGCAGTATGAAAGAAGGATCCCATCGATATTGTCATATGACCCTCTGCCATAGTAGATAGGTAGGACTCGTCCTTGTAAGTTTTCATGCTCTATGTATTGTGCAATTTCATGTTCGAATTCAGATTCCCAGCCATCCTTCTTTTTCTTAAGAATGAGTTGGGGTGGTAGCAACCATACCGGGCGAACCCCCCCGATCAAACGTTTGAGCCATGTGAGATGGCTGAGGGCTAGGTATATGGCATGGTCTAGCGCATTGCGGCGGAGCGTAAGATGGAAGGTGTTGTGGTTCTCGCATTCAAGAGGGGTGCACTCTGCTATTATAGAAGTTCCTTGATATCGAAGCTATTGGCGCGGTCAGTAGATCCCTCATTATCTGGCTCTCTAATATCCTATTTAACGTACTTTGACTAATGAGTTCTGCTCCTGCGTTGTTGCAGGGATTGCTGGTTCTTGCGGAGGTAGTAGTGGTGGCGGTGGATATGACTTTGCTGAGGCCATGAATGCTACTGATCTAGTGGCAAATTGGATGAGGCACGACAGTGCATCACGGGAGATAGACAAGATGACGTGATATATGCTACTTCGCGGAGAGCGGCGATGCAAATTTGGCAGTCACGTATTCCGCATTGCTCGTTTCTGACGACGAGGAGAGGACACCACGCGAACAAAGCTTAAGTCACGTGTAGCAAGGGAGTGTGTTGCACTGAGGGGCTAGCCTAAGCTAGGCAGTGCTGGAGATTGCTGGTGTGCAGCGCTCAGGGAAGCAAAAGGAAGTGAAAATATGATGTATATGGACGTATTCTTGTGAAAATGTGTTCTCATAGTAATATTGTATGTTGTTGTATATTTTTGGTTTGTCTTTACAGAAAAGAGTCTTTTATGTGGGAGATCATATGATATTCCTGCAACACACCCCCCCAGTCTTAGCGATCCCGTCGCTTGGACTGTTATGCCTTTACATCAGCTGCTGTATTCGTTATTTGTGCTGATACTTTCATTATCACTTTCATGATGTTGATCTCCTGTTTCCAAGCCCAGTTCCTTACGTACATCACTCAATCTGAGTAACTGTATAAATCTTTCATGCTTTGATTTATTGAGTCTTTTTATTAATCCATCAGCTAGCATATTGCTTGTTGGCACCCATTCCACTCGGATATTGCCTGACTGCCTTTCTTATCTGAGCCAGTGATGATGTATATCAACATATTTAAGCTTTATTGTTAATTAAGGTCTTTCATTATTAATCAAATTGACTGTTTATTGATTGTCGCATAGAATAGTTGGGCGTTGCTCAATATCAAGTCCTATTTGGGTGAATAGTTGTAGCAGACTTATCGTTTCTCGCGCTGCTAGTGAGAGTGACAGTAATTCAGATTCGGTTGTTGAGGTAGCAACAGTTTTCTGTTTGCTTGCCTGCCATGCCACTAGTCCACCAAAGAGTAAGAGCATATATCCTTAAGATGAGCAGCGATTGATTGAGTCATCTGCAAAAGACGCATCGCTTGAGGCTTGAAAAGCTATTAGAATAGTTTACTTTATATTGGCACTTGTTAGCATGTTGTATTGAAGAGCAAGGTATTTGGTGCTTTGAAGGTATGAGATTATGTGATTTGCCTCTTCTATGTGTTGAGCGGATGGATTCTGACTAAACTGTGCTAGTATGCTCGCGGCAAAGGCCACATCAGGTCTTGTGACTATAGCTGCGTAGAGAATTGATCCGACTCGTTGTTGGTACGCTATAATTTGTTTGGGTGTGGCATTCCCTGAATTTGGTATTGGGTTGAATGATGAAGATAATGGCGTCTTAACTTGTTTGTTCTGGTTAAACTTAAGCGACATTTTGTTGATATATGTGTCTTGGAGTAGACTGATTGATTTGACCTCTGCATTCCATATGATTCAGATATTGAGGAAAGATGTCGCTGGTCCCAGATCTTGAATGCCATATCTGGTATTAAGCTCATGTTGTAGTTAAGTAGGTTCAGCTCGTCGCGTTGGATGTGCGATGAACAGCATATCATCAACATAGACATATATTAAGATCTCTGTTGTTTTGTTGATGAATAGGCATGTTTCATCTGAACATGGTTCAAAATTTAGCGACTTGAGTTTGTCGGCTAATTCTTTGTACCAGAGTCTTGGTGATATCCTCAAACCATACAGTGCTTTGCAAAGTTTGTAGACTTTGCCTTTCATCCGATAACCTGGGGCAGTAGTTGTGTAAATTGTTTAATTGATAGGTGCTTTTGTGAAGGCATTCTTGATATCACCTTTTTCGCATATAAGATCAAACGCTGCCACGATTGCTAGTAGGGTGCGAAGTGTGCGGTAGGCCCCTATTGCTGCATAGATTTCTTCATAGGTAGGCCACTGCAGATCTCCTCTCACACAGAGTCTTGCTTTATATTTGAGCAGGTAGCCTTCTTCATCAAGTTTGTATTTGAATACCCATTTCAGAGGAATTACTTGATCGTCAGCGGGTGGATCAACTTCTTCCCATGTATCATTCTGTATCAGTTGATCCATCTCAGCTTAGGCAGCTGCCTTATAGCCTTGGGCTTCTGGATGTTTGAGCATTGCTTGCCAGTTTTCAGGCGGTGGCTTAAGTTCAGTGACATGTATTCTTGGTTTGCATGTCACTGCAGCAGCGAATGCCTGGCGGATGCCGGAGTCTTGTTTCAGATGCTTAATAGCATAATTATGCCTATTGCTGCGTGTGTCAGACTCATCAAATAGACGCTTGGTTGTTTGAGTGCTTCGCGTGGCAAGCTCGGCTTTGTTCGATTGGGTAGTGCAGTGATCTGAGCTTTTATTAGCATTTTCAAATGTACCATCATTCATGGATATTGGTGTTGGTAGCCTATGATCAGACAGTTGTGTTTCAGTATTATCTTGAGTTTCAGGCACACTGTCTTCTTGTTCTGTACCCTGAGTTAATTCTTCCTGGGATTGAGACTGTGCTTCATATTCTTGGTTAATTATGTTATCAATATCACTATCACTCAAGTCAATTTCATTTGCAATCTTTGTTGTTTCTGAGATGTCAGTATTTTGGACATCGTTCTTCTCTTGTGAGTTATAATGCTGATTCTCATCAATGATGACATCTCTTGCATAGATAACCCGATTGAGTTTTAGTATCCATATCATATAGATTGTTGTTGATTGAACACCTGTTAGGTAGCCTATAAGTGATTTGCTTCTCAGCTTGTGTCGCTGTGGCCTTTCTTTTGGGTTTTTGATGAGCACATATGCCTTCAAACCGATTGCCTTATATGCAGCTAGATTTGGCTGTCTTCCATGTACCAGCTCATATGGTGTGATCCATTGTTTGCGCTGAATGGGTAATCGGTTGAGTATGCGGACCGCATGATCCACAAAATAAGGCCATAAGCTTATAGGCAGCCTGGATTCGAGGTGTATTTTTCGAGCTGTTGTGAGTATCACCCCCCCAGATCGTTCTGCGGCACCGTTTTGATCATGTGTGTAGGGTGCTGCTGGGCGATGTGTGATCCCATTTAGCCTCATAAGCTCAAACCATTGTTGGTTTAGCCCTTGTTCATCGTCTGATTGCATCTGACGGATTGTGTAGCCCCATGTTTGAGTCAACTTGATAAATGATTCTGTGGCCAGCACAAGATATGTGCCGTTCTTTGATGGTAAGGTGTATGCCACATGAAATCCTGAATAAGAGCAATAGAAATGGAGAACCCAGCGATCTGCATTAAATGCTTGTTCGACTTTAATAATGTCAAAGTGGACCTTTTCAAAAGGGTAAGTGCCGGGGTCTACAGGCGCCAGCTGTCATTGTCTGTGTTGTTGGCCTTGGATGCACTCATCGCACAATTGATTGGTGAGTCTTAAGGGTTGCGTCAGGATTTTCACGCCAGTGGTGTGGTTTGGAAGTCGTTTAAGTACTTCAAGACTGGGATGTCCTAGTCTGATGTGCCACTGATCAATTGATGCTGTTAATGACGGGGGTAGCTTTACAGTTGCCATTGCTGATTTCTGTCTTTGATAATATTTTTCAATAATAGGCCATCTATCTTGCTCAGCTATTTTGATGTAACGCTTGCCATCTTGCATTAGCCACCCAATTTCGTCATTCCATCTCACTCCCTTTGCTGTCTTGTATGAGACTAGATTGACGTGGAAGCCAGGACAGTATGCGACATCTTGAAGGGTTATCTGTATTTCGCCTTCTGAGCCTTGGACTGTCATATCTACTGTGCCTACGCCTGTTATTGCTGTATAAGTGTCTCCTACTTGGACTTGCTTGTTTTAAGTCAGTTCCAAAGTAGTGAATCGCTTTTGGTCATTACACACATATGTGTTTGAACATGAATCAAGTCTGAACAGTTTAGCATGCTTCGACATGGTTGTGGTTGATAATGCTTGTCATTGGGTTACGAACGCTGCTCGCCCTGCTGATATTATTGTCTTTTGGTTGGCTGGATTCAATTTCAGATACCAATCAGGAAGGCTTATTTGGGCCTTGTTGAGCGCTGTTTGGACGTTATCATTGAGCCGCTTATTTCCTTATAGTAGGCTGATCATTTTTGCATGTACATCCTCGCGTCGTTTCCAGTATGATAGTGCTAGATCTGGAACAAGATAGTAGCATTTTGTGTAGTGGTGGTTGTTTCCATATATACACTTCAATTCGTACTGTGTAGATCTTCCTTTTGTTTTATTCATTTAACGCTTTTTCTTTGGTTGATTTAAGGCATCTGATTTCTCAGCTTCATTTTCAGAGTCATTGTCATATTTGCGACCTTGAAAAGTGGTGTATGATGCTCACGTTTGTTTCTTATTGTTCAGTCTACTGGGAAGCATAGCTCTGAATTGTCCCACCAGACTTGTAAGTGTAAGATGATTTGGATTATGAACCTCTTGAATTATCTTAAGTTGCTCTTCGAAGTCTTTATGCCAAGTTAAAGTCACATATATTGTATCTAGTGTACTATTTCCATCATTTGTGGACGTTGGAAGATTGTCTCGCAGTAACTCAAATACTTTCTTAATTTGATTATAGTTGTCAGCCTTGATATCTGCTTCACCAAGGCGTGCCATCGCGGCATTGTAGAAGACTGGGTTCAGAGTTTCTGTAGCGTATATAAAGCCGCGACATGCTTGTGCTTCACCAAGGTTTGGTATATTTAGGGTTCTTAACCTAGGTGCTAGAGTGATCCAGCGATTGAGCCACTTGTCGAGCATGTTGTGCTTGGTGCCTCTAGTCAAACTTTCATACTCTTCTCGCACTGAGTCTTCTAGTTGCCTAGTAGATGGTTTAATTGCTGCACGGAGCCTAGTAAGTCTCTCTCTTGGTGTAAAGACATCTTCAAGGTAGGATTGGTAGTCTTGAGAGACAGTGTTATGTATAGTTGTGTTTACTGTTGCGAGACCTTTTCTCTTCTTTTTGTAGTCATTGGCACGGTGTAAGTATGTCCTTTCTTGAGTAATAGTCATTTGACCTGGGTCTTCGAGCGGTGTCAGCTCGTCTATTTGATCAGGATTACAGTAGGACCACGCTTCATGATCTAAGGCAGTTGCTTTGATCATGGAGTACCACCATATCCAGTCCTGAGGTGATCTCAGTTGAACTCCGCTTTGCATAGTTGACATGGTTGACTCCATTTCGTTAGATTTCTTCTGAAGTTCTTTGATTAGCCTTCTGGTTCTCGATTTGAATCTTTTCTTTAGGAAGTATCTCTTTGTTCTTTCATCTTTATTTCTTTGTTTCAATTTTTTTGAGACTTATCTGATTGTTTTTTTATGTTTCAGCATTATTGCGGGGTTTGCGTTGGAGACTTCTCCCTAGATCCAATCTAACTGTTCATCCACAGTTGCTGTTTGGTTCAAAAATCGCTCAAATGCTGAACCTTGAGATCTGTCTCATTTTTGAAACAGTCTCGCCGTTATTTGGCTGGGTATTGCTCAGATGGTAGCATGATGAACACTTGAGGCATAATCTTGGTGATCAGGCAAGACCTCTTTAAGTGGTATTTTCATCTTTTGCTCCTCTGGCTGTCTTCTGTCTCATAGCTGAATAGATCTGGACGTTGATCTGCTATTGTGCACTTCGTCAGGGTCATTGGCAGCTTGCTGGTTTTTCCAGCCCCTTTTTACAATGGGGGTTAGCCATTGTCAGCGACCTCCTATGCCATGCATAGCTTAAGGCCTATTGCTGTGGGAACCATGAGGACGTCTATCATGGCGCTGTCGCCCATCAGAATGGAGTCATTTTTCGCTCTCTGTGCTTTTTGATCAATCAGCGTATGGATCAGGTAAATTCGGCTTTTCTGACTAGTCGGCTAGCCAGATGTGCTATTGTTTGGTAATCGCTTCCGATCGCTTCCTCAGAGTGAGGTCGCCGGGCTCATAACTGTTGCACTGAGGGGCTAGCCTAAGCTAGGCAGTGCTGGAGATTGCTGTTGTGCAGCGCTCAGGGAAGCAAAAGGAAGTGAAAATATGATGTATATGGACGTATTCTTGTGAAAATGTGTTCTCATAGTAATATTGTATGTTGTTGTATATTTTTGGTTTGTCTTTACAGAAAAGAGTCTTTTATG